AACCCGCGTGCATGACACCGGGTACATGATTGAGCCTACCATGGATTGGTAAGCCTTGAGTGCCCTCTCCTTGCTGCCCCATGCCTCAATTTCTGCTTCCACATCGACCTCCTTGTCCGCAAGGCTGCTGAGAGGTGTCGTCACTGGTTTGGTCTTGCATTGTCCTCCAAACCTCTCCCGTAACCTCTGAAAGTACTTCTTCTTGTATAGTAGCAGCTTCTTCTCCTCCCTATTCCTCTCTATGTTCATTCCAAGGAAGAGAGTGGTCCTTGGAATCTTCTTCACCTGAAAAACGGCTGCAAGGTGAGTGCACACCTCTTCCACCTTCTCCTCCTTCGCTCCGGCCACTAGGATATCATCCACGTAGAGGAGCAGGAACACCTTGTTCTCCCCTTCTCCCTTCCAGTAGAATGCACGGTCACATTGGCTCTTGATGAACCCCCCCTTTTCCAGCTGCGCATCCATGGCTAGGTACCACTCCCGCGGGCTTTGTTTCAGCCCATAAAGTGCTTTAATGAGCTTGCACTTTCTGTCCGTACCGTCTTCACACCCCGGTGGCTGATTCATGTAGATGGTCTCCTTCAAAATGCCATAGAGAAAGGCATTTTTTATGTCCAGCTGCACCATGAAGTACCCACGTGCCGTCACCACCTTTAGCATGGTCCTTGCCGTTGCTATCTTGCCCACGGGTGCGTAGAGTTGATCGTAGTCCTCTCCTTCCACCTGTGTGTAGCCCTTAGCAACAAGTCGAGCCTTGAAACGCTCAAGTTGTCCCATGTCTCCCGTTTTGATCTTGAAAATCCAGCGCACCCCCACTGCTTTCCTCCCCTCGGGCATATTCACAAGCTCCCATGTTCCCCTTTCAGCCAAGGTATCGAGTTCCTCCTGAATTGCAGCCCTCCACTGCTCCTTGTTTGGGCCGGACAGCGCCTCTTCAATGGTGAGAGGCTCGGTGGGCAGTTTGTAGCTTTCCACCTTCCCCTTTGAGAGTAATGCCGTTGCCGTGGTTGTAAGGAGTAGGTGAGTGTGAATGTCCTTGCAGCAGGTCAGAAGCATTTGGGCATATTTGGGATTGGGTTTCTTGACCCGTTTCCCTTTCCCCATCTCCTCATTCTCCTTTTCAGCTCCACCTTTCTCTGCTGCTGCATTTTCTTCCGCTCCTTGTAGCACCGTATCTCCTTCAATCGCCCTTCCGATGATTATCGCACCATCTGCAAGTAGGTCTTCAATTTCTGCTGCTGCTTTTTCATTGTCCCCCGAGTCAATGATGCGCCATGGGTCGGAGTAGCTCGTGCTAGCAGATTTGTCCACACTCTCTTCCCCATCCGAATTTTCAGCTTCTTCCGCATCGGCTTCCTTCGTTGAAGTATCACCACCCTCTTCTCCCTTATCTTTTTCTTCTTCACTCTCTTCCGTTGCGGTTGAAGGTGAGGACAGCTCCTGGACCTCCCACACCCAATCGAAACCCGGCGTAGTGTGGTCTTCGTAGTCATCGTTGTCACCGCTTCCATTGGCTGCCCCTATTCCCTCCTTCTCACTCCCATCTATCATCTCCTCTAGTGGAGTTGGTGCTGCTGCCGCTTCCTTTGACACAGCCCCTTGTCTCCTTCCCTTCCACTCCAAGTAGGTGTCTTGCTCGTAGAAGGTAACATCTCTGGTCGCCGTGGCTTTTCCTGTCTCCACATCGCTTATCACCCACCCTTTGCTCTCCGGGCAGATTCCCAAGTGAATCCCCCACTTGGTCCTTGGGAGAAGCTTGTGATCGGGTCCCGCTGCCTCTCGGTATTGCGTCATGCAGCCCCAAACACGTAAGAACTCCAGATTCGGCTTCCGTTTGTAGAATGCCTCGTGAGGGGTGATATCCGCCGCTAATCCCTTTGTTGGTAATCGATTTTTCAGCCAACACGCCATTCCTAGCGCATCTCCCCAGTAGTGTAGTGGCAGGTTGCTGTCCGCGAGCAAGCTCCTCACACTCTCCAGCAGTGATCGGTTCACCCGCTCCGCAATGCTGTTGTGTTGAGGTGTGTACGGGACCGTGAGCTGCCTTCGTATGCCCTTTGACTTCAGGTACGTGTTGAACTCGGCATTGACGAATTCTCCCCCGTTATCCGTGCGTAACACCTTCAGCTTCTTGCCGCTTTGCCTTTCCGCTTCCGCTTGCCAATCGAGAAAGCTCGTGAAGACTTCCGACTTGTTCTTGATCTCCGTCACCCACGTGTGTCGTGTGCCGAGGTCGGTGAAGGTAACGAAGTACTTGCTGCCATGTCGTGAAGCCACCCGCATTGGTCCACATACGTCGGCTGCCACAATGGCCAGCGTCTCGTACGGCTCATGAGCTCCATGCTTGGGATGTGGCGCCTTTGTTGCCTTTGCTTCCACGCATGTGCTGCACTTCATATTTTCCTCTCCACCCTCAGCTACCTTCACTCCCGCTGCCATGTTCTTCTTGATCAGCTCCTTGATTCGATAATGACCAGCGTGCCCCATCCTCCTATGCAGCAGGTTGACGTCCACCGTGCTCACTGCTGCTGCCATAGGAAGCGCCTGCTGCTGCAACTCCTTAATAGGCACCTTTTCCAGCTTGGTACGAAGCTCATCTCGAGCCACCCTGCCCGCTTCCGGTTCAGCCAGGTACGTGACCTTGTCCCCACTCTGTTTTTCGTGCAGCTTCATCTCGTACAACCCTTGCTTGCGTGATCCTTCCGCTAGCACCTTCCAATCCGCTCCAAAGACCCATATGCTCCCCTTGTCGCTGAAAGTTTTGCATCCACCGCTATCCAGCTGCGATTGACTAATGAGGTTGAGCGTAAGCTTGTCCACCAGCAGCACGTTGTCCAGCTTCACCTCACCATACGCACTTTGTAGCACTAGATCTCCTTCCCCTTTCACAGGAAGTTTCCCCTCGTCTCCCAATAGCACGTACGGAATCGGTGATGCTCTGAAATTTTTCAGCCACTCCTTCTGGTTCGTCATGTGTTGGGTACAACCGCTGTCCATGTACCACTCTTTCCCCTTCAGGCCCTTTGCAAGCAGGCATGCTCCCGATGCTCTTGCAACATTGGCCTTGTGGGCTCCCCCGAGGATGACGTCGTCGTCGCCGGTTTCCGCTTCGGTGGCGTTGATCTTCGCAGGTACGTTGTTCTTTTGCTGCTGCTGCCCTCCCTTGAAGCTCTTGCTCATCGGGTTACTGTAGCAGTCAATAGCTTTGTGCCCAAATTTCCCGCAGTGGTTGCAGTTTCCAGCAAATCCGCCTCTCGAACGTTGTCCTTCTCCGCTCGCTCCTGCTGCCTTTCCTCTGAAATTCTTGCTTTTTGGATTGGAGTAACAGTCTACAGCCTTGTGCCCTTTCTTCCCACAGTGGAAGCAAGCTCCAAATGATTTTCCTGCCCCTGTTGCGTTCAACATGGCAGGTTTGTCGTTGCTGAAGTTGTCCGGCAGCGCCTCCCTTCGTTCTTCCTCCGCACGAATAAGCGCCACGTCTTGAAGAGACTCCACCAAGTCCGTCATGTCCGTCGGGCGTCGGCAGGCCAGCATCCGCTTCTCTGCTGCCCATGACTTCGGTAGACCGCCAATGATGTAACTCATCATTTGCTTCTCCGATTCGGGTACTCCCATTGCTGTCAGGTCGTCGTTGTAGCCTTTGGCACGTCCCACGTAGTCCACCACCGTCTCGGAAGGTTCCATGGCCAGCAGTATGAGTTTCGTCCTCACTGCTGTCATTTTTGTCTCGCTTTTCCCGAGGTAAACTCTCTCCATGTAGGCCCACGCCTTCTCTGCAGCGTTGTCCTCCTCAGAAAATGGGTCGAGTCGTGCCGCTATTGAACCCGAGACCGAGTGGCAGAGTTGAAAGAAAGCTTGTTGGCTTCTTTTCTTGAACGCTTTTTTCTCTTGTGCGGTTGCAGGTGCAGGTCCGTCTTCCTCCGTCGCTGCCTCTGGGTTGTAGAAGTGCCACAAATCCACCTCCCGGGCGCGTCGCATGAACTTCAGCCGCCATGTGCCGTAGTTCTCTCCATTGAAGCGTTGAGCTTCACTTAGGCCAATCGTCGGTTTGGCCACAATTTGCCCCTTAGCAAGGGCATCCAGTAGACTCTGCAGCTGCACACCGTCGGTGTTTACAGATGATCCCGAACTGGTCTCTCCATCTCCTTTCCCCATGTCGGTGAATATTCGTCCGTTCCAATTATACTAAAATTAATAATGCCTCCAACGCTATTATAACGAGGCTTGACACGACGAGAACCAAGCTCTGATACCAGCTCTTAGTTTGGGTATAGCCTCCGGCTAGCGTTGAAGGTAGTAAATACTTGGAGAGAATTTCTGGTTTTCTGGTGCAAGTTTCACTCAAAACAGAGAAGTACACAAAATGATTGAAAACAAACACATTTAAGCATTTCGAATTGTGATGTGCGCCTCGCGTAACGCGTCATCCGCGTTTCAGCCCGAGTCGCACGCGGAACCGATTTCGGTAACCGTCACCGGAACCGAAACCCATTTGTCCCTTCCGCACCGAACACGGTTCGGTTGCGGTTGGACATTTCTAGGCTACGGAAATGTCGTCTCGACATTTCCGAACCCTAGTCTACTAGCATTCCGTTTTTCCTTTCCTTCCTCACGTTTTCCATCTTAGCTCTCTAGTTTTCAGTCCCACCGATCTAGGCATAGGTTCCCCACATTAGGTCGCGGTTTCCCACCGTTTCTAGTGTTGTTCTACCGTCCCTAGGTGAAGCGCGTAGGCCGGTAGGCACTAGGGCAGTGGCGAACCACCCTAACAGGTGGCGGCGAAGTGGTAAGGCGCGGAGGGGCAGAAGTCGATGGTCGTCACGTTGCCAATCAGCGGCTCCGCCGCTTTCCGCCGGAAGCTGCGCCAAAACCCCGCTTCCGCCGTCTCCGTGGGCGCCACCCGCGCATAGCGCTTGGGCGTGACTTTGAGAAAATCGCCCACCACCTGCTGGTCGCCCATGCCTCGCGGCCTTTCTATTGGAGGTCTCGTAGGATGCTGCATGTTTTCAGCGAGTCGCGGAACGAGTGAGCAGCGTAGTGGCGCGCACAATGAGACGCGCGTGGAAGTGACGAGCGTGACCGAGGTACAACCAGGTGCGACGCGGAAGGCAGCCGCGGTAGCGAATGCAGTCGTTGAAGGGTGTGAAAGCAGAAACGTGAATATCAGATTAGGGTTTATACCGATTTCTTTCGGCAGTAAGGCATTGCATGTGGTTGGGAAGCTAAGTCCTACTTGCTGCTCCCCTGGCTGCTCCCCTTTCTCTCCTCCTCGCTGCTCCCTTTGCTGCTCCCGTTGCTGCTCCCCTCTCTGCTTCCCTCGCTGGTCCCCTCTCTGCTCTCCTTGCTGCTGCCCTCGCTGCTGCCCTCGCTGCTCCCCTTGCTGCTCCCCTTGCTGCTCCCCTTGCTGCTCCCCTTGCTGCTCCCCTTTCTTCTCCCCTTGCCGCTCTCCTTGCTGCTTCCCCGGCTGCTTCCGTTGCTGCTCCTCTTGCTTCTCCCCTTGCCGCTCCTCTTGCTGCTCCCCTTGGGTGCTTGAATTGTTTGGATGGTCGGTTGTTTCTCTCAAGTACTGCTGTGCACACTATGTGGTGTGGATGGTTGCAGGTGCACCCTATGCCTTGAGCCAGATGCTAATGTCGTTGCCTATTTGAATGACCTTGTTGCTGCTCAATGCTGCAGGCTCTCTTGAAGCTGTGGGGCAAGGTTGCTCCCAGCGAGACTCACATGGACCTCGATGGTGTCTATCTCACCGATGCTGCTCTCTCTCAGCTCGCCTCCTTTCGCTCTCTCACGTCGCTCAGTCCTTCTTGGTCCGACGGCTTCAAACCAGAGGGGTTAACACAGCTTTTCTCCCTCACAGGACTCACGTATCTGGATTTGTCGGATACAGATGCAACGGACGCTTCTCTTGAAGGAATTGGCAGCCTGAAGGTTCTTAGCACACTTAATCTTGGTAACACCGAGGTAACCGATGCAGGAATAGCGAAGCTGCGGGGGATGACTGCACTCGTGACACTGGCCTTGAATGACTGTGAGTCGGTCACCTCTGCGAGCATGGTGCACGTGGGGCAACTGACAGCATTGGAGTCTCTCTGGCTGTGCGACATTGTAGTGAGGGAGGTCGGGCTGAAACACCTGACTGCTCTCACCTCCCTCAAGCACCTCAGCTTGCCTCCAGGGGTGACTGATTCCACTTTGAAGCATCTGAGGAACATGCCACGCCTAGAGAAGCTGGGGCTGTGGGATGCGAATATCACTGCTGATGGTGTCAAGTGGGTCAACGTGCCGGCTCAAGAGCCTTAAGGTGATTGGAACAAAATCTAAAACTGTAGAAGGCCTGATTAGAGACAACTTCCCCGAGGTGATTGTCACGGAAGGTCCTATAAGGAATTAGGAATCCGACAGCTATAATTTACTAGTGCAAATGCAATGCAATCTTCAATGTACGTGCTGCAGTGCGTCTAGACAAATATGGTCCTGACTCATTGATTTGCTGTGTTGTGTATCTGAACTTGGGGGGAAACACTTTTGCTCAAATATTGATACCACATAAAAAATGATACCGGTACTGTAACGAGTTTTAGCATCATGGGGCGTTTTTTCTCAGCCCAGCATCAACCGCCATTCCATCCCCAGCCCAGCCCCTTCCTCTAAGCTAAGCTAAGGCACATTAGAGCAGAGCAGAGTCAAGTGATCCTGCATGGCGCCTCCCCGCATAGCGCCTCCCCGCATGGCGCCTCCCCGCATGGCGCCGCCCTGGAGGGCTGCAGCAGCGGCGATGGCATCGGCCTCGGCAGTGGCGGTGGCAGCAGTGGAGGCGCGCAGCAGCGGCAGCACAAAGCCCTGCAGCTCCGCCAGCTCTGCCAGGCATGCGCCTCCGCCCCCACCACCTGCGCCAGCATGTGGAACTGGGGGGGGTGGGGGAAGGGGGGGCGGGGGGAGAAATGGAAGTGGAGGGAGAGTTAGATAGAAATGAAAAGAAATGCGCCTCCGCCCCCACCACCTGCGCCAGCATGTGGAACTGGGGGGGGGGGGGGCCAAAAGGGGGAAGAGGAGGAAGGGGATGAACAGACGGAAGCATGTGCCTCCGCCCCCACCACCTGTGCTAGCATGTGGAACTGGGAGGGGGAGGAGAAGGAAGGGGTGGGGAAAGGATAGGGCGTTGGTGAGGTTCACAGTGGGCCACCACCACCTGCGCCACCATGTGGAACTAAGGCAAAAGGGGAAGGCGGGGTGGGACTAAATAGAAGAGCTTCCGCCCCCACCACCTGCACCACCACGTGGGACTAGGAAGAATGGCGGAGAGGAGGGCAGGGTGTCAGTGTGGGTGATTTAATTCGGTGGTCAGTAGTCAAAGAAGGGGGCCATAAAGAGAAGGAAAAGGGGCGTGTATGGAGGGAAGCATGAGGGTAATGCATAGTTGGTAGACAGGAGCAATGCACAATCACCATTGAAACAAGTGCAGAGAACCCAGAAAAAAAAAAAAAAAAAAAAAAAAAAAGATCGCACAACAAGGAACTGCAGCAGCAGACTGTGCGGCACACAAGAACGGGGAAGGGGGTGTGGGGGGCGGGTAGGGTTGGGTTGGGGGTCGGGGGAGAGGGGGGGGGGTTGTGCTGGTTGAGGTGTGATTAGATAGATTTGGTGGTGGGGAGACGAAGAGTGAAGCCAATCAAGGGGGGATTGAAGGAAAGAGAGGAGAAAAGAGAAAAGAGAGGAGAAAGAGAGGAGAAAGAGAGGAAAGCAAAGAGAGGAAAGAGAGGAGAGCCTGGTGAGCAAAGAGAGGTGAGCCTGGTGATGGGCATAAGGGGGGGTTGAAAGTTGGGGGGTGAGTTTGGAGAGGAGAAATTCACTGAGAAGGGTGTGAAGAAAGGGCGCGGAGGTGTGACTGTGTAGGAGAATGCAGAGAGGTGGGGGCAGGTGGGCAGGATGCAATGGAAGAGGGAGACTTGCAAAGCACATGACAAGAAGAGGTAGAGTGGCACTGCAAGGCCGTGCAAGCAGGGAGGTGCGATGCAAGCAAGGCGGTTTACTTTCGTCAGAACTGCAGGAAGCGGCTGAGCGACTTGACTGGCAGCACGGCAATGGCATTGGCACCAGCATCTGCGAGGGGAATGGGAGGTGCAGGAAGAGGAGGGGAGGACGGGTGGGTGGGAAGGGGGGGAAAGAGGGAGGCGAAAAACAAGGCTTCTTAGGGAGGGAGTAGCGGGGAGACGGCACAGAATGTCGTTGCTAGTAGCGAGGAGCACTGATATCAGGATCTCAAAAGGGGGAGCAGAGAGCGAGAGAAGAGAAAGTGAGCAAGCACCCTCGTTCCCCGTCACACCCTCCACCCTTTTCCCCCATATCCCCTGCTCCCCTCTAGCCCAGAAAACGAGTCCTGCATGGCGGCTCTGAGGGTAGCAGGTGACCAAACAGACACACATGCACCCACCACACTAATCTCCCCTCCCCTCCCCTCCCCTCCCCTCCCCTCCCCTCCCCTCACCTCCCGTCCCCTCCCTCCCCTCCCCTCCCCTCCCCTCCCCTCCCCTCCCCTCCCCTCCCCTCCCCTCCCCTCCCCTCTCCCCCCTTCCCCTTTTACCCCAAATCCCCCCTCGCCTGTCTCACCCCTGTTGCCCCGAGCTGACCTCGCGTTTCTCGAGTGAAGCGTCCTGCATGGCGGCTGGGAGGGAAGCGGGGTGTTGGAAGCGCCGCAGCTTGTTGTCGTGCACTGCTAGATGACCAGAACTTGCTCTCATGCGCCGCCATGACTACGGGGAGCCACTGGGCAGTCTGTCACTATGTGGAGCGCTGCCGCATGATGACCAGGCCAGCTCTTGCTGTGCCGCTGCTGCCATGCTCTCCTACCCGCACACACTTGCCTCCCTTCATCTCCTGTCACATGCACGCCCTTGCACTGCGCCACCAGGCAATCCTCTGCCTGGCGTGCAAGCACATGGGAGGAGGGTGGTTGCAGGGATGGGATCGGGAAGGAGCTGGGCGAGGGGAGTGGGATGCGGTGCTGCTTGCCGTGGGTGACACATGCACGCCCTTGCGCTGTGCCACTCGGTAGCCTACGCATGGCCCGCATGGCCCACATGGCCATCCCCATCCCTGATAGTGAGGTTGGGAGGACAAGAAATGTTAGGGTTGGTTCGACGAACCACGGAACCTACGGCGAGATTCGGTGTGACGGCGGAAAGGAAGCGCGTGGGACTTTCTAGAGTGGAAATCGGCCTACGGTGGATATCGGAGGCTACGGCGTGAGAAGCGGGAGAAGAATTGGGAAGAAATGTGCTAGAAGGAGGTGGAGAGAAGGAGAAGCATCGAGAAGGAGATCGACGGGGGAAAATTGTGGATCGAGCTTGAGGCGTGTTCGAGAAGTTTCCAGATTCGGACTTGAGGAGTGTTCGGTGCATTCGGGGTGAAACGAGGCGCGCGCGAAATTGCTTGGGATAGAAATTACGTTACGAACCGCATTTTGTGCATTGCCTGACTATAAAACTGCTTGTACTCATTCTGGAAATCATAACATTGATCAGTTGAAGATTCTGAAAATTGCTGAAGTGTGTATTGACAACTTCAAGCAGAGCTGCGCATATCATTGGATTCAGGAGATCGTGGAGAACAAGATAAGCAATAGCAAGCAGACTATTGCCGACTAAGTCGTTTACTATCCTAAGAACTGGTATCAGAGCTTGGCGAACGGGCGCGTCGATCGCGGTAGATTCACTTGGTGCGCTAAGTGAAATTAGTGGAGAAAAGGAGTCGTTCACGCCTACGCTATGGGAGACGAGGCGAGTTCGGGTTCCAGTGTGAGTCTTGGAGACCCGCAGTTGAAGACTCTTCTTGAGGCCCTTGCGAGTGGCCGATTGGTGGCGAAACCGACGATCGGGCTCAGCGAAGCCCAGCGCTTCAACGGGAGCAACTACAACGTGTGGCGGAAGAAGTTCCTTCGGAGGGCAAAGGAGGTGGACCTCTTGCCGTAATACCCTCCCGACGAGGAGACGATGGAGGGAGTTGCGCCTTCCACGACGGATACGAAGGAGAAAATAGCGGCGTTCAAAAAGCAAAGTAAGCAAGCGTTCTTTCAGCTTTGTCATTCAGTTGCCGAAGGAATCGCCGTGGATTTGGACCAGTTTGCAGGGGAGCTGAACTCTGCACAGCGAGCGTGGGAGTACCTGGAGTCCACGTACATGGGTACCAACGATGTCAACAAGAAGGCGATTAGGAAGCAACTGCTGACGCTGAGCATGGAGAAAGGCGAGAAAATCATCACCTACATCAACAGGGCGAAAAGCTACAACGACGATTTGAGGGTGATGGGAGCCGCGGAGACGGAGAAAGCGATGATCGACTATATAGTCGATTGTCAGAATGAAGATAGTTCGGGTTCCAGTGTGAGTCTTGGAGACCCGCAGTTGAAGACTCTTCTTGAGGCCCTTGCGAGTGGCCGATTGGTGGCGAAACCGACGATCGGGCTCAGCGAAGCCCAGCGCTTCAACGGGAGCAACTACAACGTGTGGCGGAAGAAGTTCCTTCGGAGGGCAGAGGAGGTGGACCTCTTGCCGTACTACCCTCCCGACGAGGAGACGATGGAGGGAGTTGCGCCTTCCACGACGGATACGAAGGAGAAAATAGCGGCGTTCAAAAAGCAAAGTAAGCAAGCGTTCTTTCAGCTTTGTCATTCAGTTGCCGATGGAATCGCCGTGGATTTGGACCAGTTTGCAGGGGAGCTGAACTCTGCACAGCGAGCGTGGGAGTACCTGGAGTCCACGTACATGGGTACCAACGATGTCAACAAGAAGGCGATTAGGAAGCAACTGCTGACGCTGAGCATGGAGAAAGGCGAGAAAATCATCACCTACATCAACAGGGCGAAAAGCTACAACGACGATTTGAGGGTGATGGGAGCCGCGGAGACGGAGAAAGCGATGATCGACTATATAGTCGATTGTCAGAATGAAGAATGGATGATGCATTGATGTTGGTTGGGGTACATATAGCTAACCCTAAGTTTTGTACCCCCTAAGACAAACCTCACTATAGGCTACAACATTTGACACACCCCCATAGCCTAAGTGAGGGGTGTCTAGCAGAACCAAACGAGTACGGTCACAAGACCAGTCCAAGAAACGAAGCTCAGGGTGGATCACAACGTCACCACACAGTCTGAGCACAAACAACAGTGGCCACAAGGCCAGTCGAGATATATAGAAAGCAAAGTAAACAGTACACTCAAGTCTAAGCAACACGAGAACCAGTGTCAACAAGGCCTAACTGCACACAGCACCTCTGGTGGTCACAAGGCGGAAGCGCCT